ATTAAGGTAATTTTCAAACAGACTCAAAAGCAAAGGAAATGGGGTGTTGAGTTCTCACACACATGTGCCCCTACCCGGCTTCAGCAGTTATCAGTTCCTGGTCTCTCTTCTCTCTCCCACTTTCTTCTCCCTCATGGGCTTCTTGAGAAGTAAATCAGATATCACAGCATTTCATGTGTTTCTTAAAATAGAAAAAGCCTTAAAAAAAGAACAGTAATACCACTGTCATACCTTAAATAAAAATAACAGTGCTTTCTTATTGTCATCAAATACCCAGTTAGTGTTCAGATTTCCCTAATTATCTCATAAATGCTTAAAAAATTTTTTTAACAGGTGGCTTATTTAGATCAGACAACGTCCACAGATTACATTTAGATGCTCCCTTTGAAGTCTCCTTTAATCTGTAGGTTCCTCTCTCCTCCTTTTTTTCCCCTTGTAATTTATTTATTGAATAAACCAGGTCATTTGTCTGATGAGATTTCCTACATCATGGGTTTTGCCATCTGCATCCCTTGCTGTAACTTGATTTGTGCTTCTGACCTCTGCATGTCCTTGTAAATTGGACCTTCAGTCTGGAGACTTAACACTCATTCGGGTACTGTTTTGGGGCAGGAGCACTTCCTCAGTGGTGCCATGTATCTCATTTTGTACCCCAAGAAGAGGACGTGGCATCTGGGCACATGTTGGTGGTGACAGAGTCCATCTGTGGGTTCAGGTGTTGTCGGCTCCATCCAGTCATCATGAGGGTCCCCATCAGTCTTTCGCCCAGTGGTTTGAGCAGCCATTGGTGATCGTTGCCTAAATGTATTATTCAAGTAGGGATTGTAAACTTCTGATATTCCATCGTTCCTTCTGGTGTTTATTAGATAGATTTTCCCACAAAGAATGATGTGCCTTCCTCATCTGTTGAGTGCCCTCGGAAACGGTTCTTACAGAAAAGGCAGGATAAAAAGGGAAAGAATCAGCACTGATGTATCGTTTCAGAATGAGGTGATGTTCCCCCCATCCTTCTGGATGGAGTTAACATTCTTTTTGCTGCTCAGATTGTCTTACCTTTGGCGAATGGGCTCTTCCTGAAGCTGGCTCCTGAATCCTTTGACATAACTGCAGTGGTTTTGAGAACTATTTTTCCCTGGGCTCTGGTGTGATGAGGTGTTCTAGGCTCACCTACTTTTCCTGCTCCAGGAATTAACCTTTTCACTTAGGAATCCTGACTGATAAACTAGTTCTTTTAGGGACTATGACTGAAAAAAAATCTGCATTTCTTTGTTCTGATTTTTTTCCCTAAAATTTAAAACAGTGTTAAAGGGCTTTTAGCCTTTTTGTTAGAGTCTACGTTTTCAAACAGTATTAAAAGGCTTTTAGCCCATTTATTAGGACCAAAACTAACCCTTTACCACTTTAACAAAACACTGTTTCTTTTTTCCATGTGCCTTTTGAGTCTTTGCCTATAGGTGTGCATTTTTCTCTTTAAATTAAAAAAATAATTAATGAGTAGATACAAAAGAATACTTACAAACTATATGAAAGGTCTGAAGAGTCTCGATACCATGAACACTGGCGGTGTCCCCTAGCCAGTTTCTGCCCATTACCTGTGTGGCCCTTCCTAATCCTGTATCCTCCCCCGACCCCAAGAGGTAACACTTGCCTGAATTTTGGTGATAATTATAATTATTTCTGCTGTTTCTCGATTTTCTTGTTTTTCCATGTGTTTGTGTCCCTATACAAAAGATTGTTTAGTGTTGCATATTATTCAGTTTTATATAAATGAAACCACACTGTATTATTTTCCTCTGACTTTATTTTACTCAACTTTATGCCTCTGGTCTCCATCTACATTGTTGTTGTAATTGAAATGTGTGCTTTTCACTGCTAAGCTCCTAGAGACCAGTACAGTTTACCACCCACCCCTCTCCCTGCATCCCTGGCTCTGGCCACACAATTACTTCTTCTTCAGACACATCCTATTAGGCATGTCTGCGTCTTGCACAGGGAGGTCTCTTTTCCTGGGTGTCCTTTCCCTCACCATCTCCATTTGGTGACTTTCTTCTCTTTTAAGCCTTGGTCACGTTTACCTTCTCTGCCACCCTCCCGGGGTCCCTTATGAAGTTAGGTGCCGCTTCATTCAGCCTCCTCTGCATACTGTCTAACTTTGTTTGAGACTTCCTTTTTTTTAATTTAAAAAATTTTTAAATTGAAGTACCATCAGTTACAATGTGTCAATTTCTAATGCACAGCACAGTGTCCCCGTCGTGCATATACATTCATATATTTGTTTTCATATTTTTGTTTGAGACTCTTTTGAAAGCTCTGTCCCCTCCTTGCTTGCGGACATGAAGTTGTCCCAGTAACCTGGGAGGATTCATAGATCCCCTGAAGCTTATCTAAGGACCTGTCAGCAGTGGATGACATGGATCATTGTATGTCCTTCTGTCCTGTAGACTGGGGCTAACTGCGTACAGGACTCTTCTCATCAGTGGTCCTCAGGGTCTTACACAGACCCGTGAACACCAGGCTGTCATTGGTGTCCATTACCTTAGGTGGGGCAAATAAACTTCTTCTGCAGTAGGAAACCCAACAAAGGCAATAATTTGCAAAGATGCTTTTGCCAGACTTTGTGGCAAGGCAAAAAGCAGTGGCAATGGCTATTACGTTGTTATCTTATCGTTCATGTTTGTTCTTTTTATCTTTAGGATGAAGCTCTTACATCAGGTGTCACACGTCTGGAAAACAGATGGGTTGAGCAGTTGTGATTACAAATTACTCTCTGTGGATTACAATCCTTTATATATCAACATCACAGTGGATTTCTGGTCTGGCCCATGACCAGGACCTTCTGCTGCCGTTTGGAGGAACTGAATATCTGATTGCAATAATTTTGCCTAGACTTCCCCAAGTAGCACACCTGAAGAACTTGTTGCAGCCAGTTATTGAGCTGAATTCTCCTTTTTTGTATTTTCTTAGCAGAGCTCCTGGTGGTACAGAATGTGAAACAACTATAACAAGACAGCTTTCTTAGCTGTTTTGATCATGAGGGTTGAATAGTGTAATGCAGATCCTTGAAGGACCAAGTGTCGAAGGGCTACACATAGATACCCTGAAGGCTAATTGAGAACTCTGGTGGAAGGAGATTTAAGTTTGAAGTGGTACCTGTTTTCTAGGATAAAAAAGGCCCTGGGAAATTAAGATTGCTGAATGTCCCAGAGAACCAGAATTGTTCTCATCCAGGGGAGGAAAGGATGAAGACATATTTTGTTACTCATTTATCCTACATGGTCACCTGTGAAGAGGTGGGTCCCAGGTGAGGAAAAGGCTGAAGGAGGGGGAGAAAGGTGAAGACTCAGGATGCAGGGAGCTTGGGGCTGAAGAGGTGGCAGAAGGACAGTGTCAGACGGGGAGTGGCCGCAGTGCCGCTGCTGCCTCTCTGCAGTGGGGGCGACTGCCCAGAGACGCCTTCCAGGGACAGCCCAGCAGACCACAGTTGTCTCCTAGTTTTTAGAGCATTTTTGTAAAATGACTTTGTACGTGTAGGATCTGAATCAGTTTACAAATTATATATTAGCTAATAATACATCAGAAGTACCTCTGTAGTAAAATATGAAAAAGCTTTGGCTGTTCGTCTTGGTTTTTACTGCTGTTTGAGACCTCCAGATGTGTTCATGTCAGTATCCATAATCCTGCTGCTTGAAAACAACACAAATGCGACCAAGCCCTCTCCCGCCCTCCCTCCCTCCCTCCCTCCCATCTTCATCCTTCTGTGCTCGGCCTGTTCTTCCTGAGCACAGCCTCCTGGTGAGCCCGCTCCAGGCCCACAGCAGGTGCCTCCGGTGTCTCAGTTCCCAGGCTGCATCCTGTTTTTGTTCTCTTCATCCTCCTGTCCTAGCTCCCTATCAGCAATGGGTACAGCAGGGCTGCCTCGGGCGCACCCGGTTGGTGATCAGATAGGAAGGGGTGGAGCCCAAGGCCCAGGGCTCAGAAAGCCTTTGATTTGGAAGGAAGGTGGGGCCAGGGCATGACCTGGGAGAGAAGCCGCTGGTACTGCTGAGCTTCCTGGGAGCGGGCCGGGACGCAGTGGGATAATCTAAGGAAGGTGATGGGAGATGGATACTGGGTCAGCAGTAAGAATATTTTGTTTGCATAGATGTGGATGTTCTTGAGCAAGTAGTATGCAACCATGCCCCAGGGTTTCACAATCCATCATGATTATATGACACTTAATTATTAAACTTTGGCCAATTAGTGTAAATAATATCTTTCCCAAACAGGAAGAGGGAGGGAGTAGGAGGACTGGGGCTGCCAATAAAGACAGCAGTCACAACCTCAGTAGGGAAGAAGAATTTGAAAGGAAAATACATTTTGTGGTCATGACAGGTTTACCTAGGGCTGGCCTGGTTTACCTTTAACCCAGTAGGGACCAGTAAAAGCTGTGGTTTTTTCTTCATTTAGAAAAGGAAAAATGTTTTTCATATCCACCCCCCCCACTCCTCTTTTCAGCGGAATCTTCCTCTAGCATTCCATCCCAATTTTCTTTCTTTTTTTAAAAATTGAAGTATAGTTGATTTGTAATATTGTATTAGTCCCAAGTGTACAATATAGTGATTCAGGGATTTTTGCAGATTATATTCACTAGGTTTTTACAAAATAATGGGTATAAATCCCTGTGCTATACAGTAAGTCCTTGTTGCTTATCTATTTTATGTATAGTAGTTTGTATCTGTTAAACATCCCAGTTTTCTTGATTATAATCATATACAGACTGATAATTCCCAACAGCCTAGGCTAGGAACCTCCAGTTTGGAGGCTGCAGGTCCCTGCTCATGGTTGGGGAGGGTAAAGGAAGAGAATAGTGTGTGCAAGGAATTTGAGGATCCATACTGAGAATGATTTCTCAGTGGAAACAAAATGTAGTTATTACCACGTGGAAACACCCTCCGTATTTTCAGCTATTAACAAAGCACCTGCATTTTTTTTAAATGTTAGAAACCACTGTCTTATGCCTATTGAAATTCTTCAGATAATTCTTAAAAAATTTATTTTTTGTTTCTTTTGGGGGGAGAGGAGGTAATTAAGTTTCTTTACATATTTTAAAAAATAATTTTTGATTTGATTTTATTTTTTAGTGGAGGTACTGGGGATTGAACCCAAGACCTTATGCATGCTAAGCATGCACTCTACTGCTAATACCCTCCCCCTCTTCAGATAATTCAACCAAGTTTGCCTACAAGTCGTTTGAATGACTCACTGAAACTTTTTGAGGTGGAAGGTAGTTTTTTAAGACCTATGTTTTCCCAGTGTGTCTCTGTACCTGCCCCGGGTACTGAAGCCCAGTGACTGGCAGGAGGCATGTGGCCGCCTGCTTGCTCTGCTGGGCAGTTTGGCTACAAAAGCTTCCCCCTTTCCCCACCGTGTGTGTTTTCCGTTGTCAGTTGCCGTAGAGAGGCCAAGCTTTCTGAGTGACGTAGGTAACACCTTCTACAGTTGCTAAGGATTCTGTGGGTGCCGTACGTCTGAGCACTGCAAATACTTAATGTGAAAAGTGTGCTACTTTAAAGGTTTTATTGGCTTTTTCTCACTTATACTACCACTCATTTTTATAGTGCTTTACGGTTTATGACATTTTTATACACACTTTATTGATCCTGTTGACTCTTGAGATAAGCAGGGTAGAAGAGGAGGTGGAGGTTCCATTACACCACACTGCCTTCATCTGGGTTCTCTCCTTTAAGGAGGTTTTCCTGACTCTACACCCCTGTCCTAGCTCCTAGAGAAATTTGGTATCTTCTGGACTTGAAAGTGCCTTCCATTCTTGTCTGGTCTCTGAACTTTTTTCCAGACTCCTTCCCTGGTTTTTCTGCCCTCTGCCCCCTCACTTCCACTCAAGCCCCTACGAGGTTTCCTGGGGACCCCAGATGCTCTGTTAAATGGAGTCTTGGGAGAGGTGAAAGACATTTTCTGGCAGACCCATAACCTCCACTTTCCCTAAGTCCTACATATAATACAGCCTCAAAAGCCATGAGTGTGTCCCACAAAATGGAGCATACTCAGGAACATTTCACAAGTTCTTTTTCACCCATCACATTTCAAAAGTTTTTTCAAGTCTATTCCTTAGTACCTTAGATGTTTAAGCTATTGCCACCTTCACTGGTTTGCAGAACGCTGAAGACTATCATACCTACTTAGAGGGCCTGATGGGTCTCAAAGATATTCACAGAGGAGGGACCAACAGCCTCCACCCCCTGGGAACACACCTGTACAGGTTAGACTCCATTGTTCCACTGACAACTGCTGAAGTGAAAAAACCTCGAATAAAATAGAATCTTGTATATGTGTGTGTGTGTGTGTGAGAGAGCGAGCTGGAGCTTTGGAGGAGACGGTGAAGGATGGGGCACCATAATTGAATGCTTGCTTTGTATTTCAGTTTTCCTTTTTTTTTTTTTAATTTTAACTTTCCAATAGTCCTATAGCCATGTATGTAGTCCTGCAAAGAAAAAACAGATTCAAGTTAAGTAACTTCCCAAAGCTGGTTAGAGGAAGAGAGAAGATTTAAACTCCAGTCTCTTGACACCAGTGTCTTGTTTTTTTCCCCCAAGAATATCACATTGTCAGGAGATTATAAGGTTTCTCTGTGAAGGCAGCAAGGGCAGAGATCGCATTTGTAGCCAGGATTCTGGAAATAATAAACACAACTTGAGATGTATCCATTAAAGTGCCTTATCCTGATTCCCTAGTGCATTCTTCCACTGTTGAGTAGGAGTTTTGCTGAAAAGCTATTACTCATAGCTATTGTTTGAAGGCCAGTAAATTTGGACCAGTATAGCTTGGTCATTAAGCTTATTGCAGTAAATTGAAGTAACATGACAGCAGTTGGCGTGTTCCCAGGGATTACAGGCCAAGCGGAGTTCTTCAGACCAGACTTATGGTATAACTTCCTGTTGGTATCTCTTACAGGCTGTGAGCTGCTCTAATGCACACTTTACGTATCTTACTGAATCCTCCCAGTCCCCCGTGAGACCTGCTTTTCTGAAGCAGTTTCCAAGAGGCTGACTTACCAAAGTCATGCAGAACTGGGATTTGGAGCCAGGGTTTTGACTTCAAAGCTCATGTTCTTAACCGCTTCATGGTAACAAATGAAAAAACCAACAAATACAACAAACAGAGGAAATAAGGATGGGCAGAGTTTATTTGGAGACTGTCTGTGCCCTTCAACCAAAGACGCCCAGGAACACACCTGCAGATATAAGTCGGGATGCTGACTCATTGCGGTGAGCTCTGGAGAACACACCGTGGGGAACCTCAAGGTGTCTCAGGAAAAGGGAGTCAGAGTCTATCACAGCATTTGGGTCTGGGGAGGGTCTAAGCCAGCCGAGCATGCTCTGTTTTGGACGCTGTGAGAGCAGGGACAGTTCTGTGATGGTGCATCTCAATGTATTGAGATCCACGAGGAGGGACTAGCAGGAGAAGAGACCTGTAATTGTAAGCACGTAGCATCATTTATTTTAGCCCCTAACGGGTGTGTTTGGTATTTTGGGTGGCACGGTGACCTTGTTTTTGTGCTTGGACAGAATTACGATGTGGCCTCACTTGGCCTCATTTTACGTGACCTTACCGGAGGCTGGTATTCTGTGAATTGTTTACGTCTGACAGGAGAATAGCGTGGCTCCGTTGTGCTTGCCAGGCTACTTTTTCCTTCAAGAGGAACTCAGGGCGGAGGCCACTAGGAAGTAGGGCATGACGGCACCGTTTCTCTTTAACTCTGCGATTTGGCTATTTGTCTTTTTCAAAGGTAGGGGTGGGTGGTGTGTGTGTTTGGGGAGTTGGTTGGCGTCTAGGGGGAGGGTGGGTTGGAGAAGGGCCTGGGAACTATGCATTTCTTAGCAACACGTCTTTTTCCGACATGCTTTTGCATCTCCTCGTGGGAGGTGGCCACTCACAGCTGATGGCAAAAATGTCACACATGAAAGCAAACTCAAGAGCTTACACTGAGTCTCCGCTGTGTTTCTTCTTTGATTCAGTCTCACATACAGGAGGTGATAAGAATCTGGGTGAGGTGAAGCAGGGAAGAGAAACTAGACACAGGAGAAAGGAGGTGGTTCATTCTAGAGAAATGAGAAAGCAGCTCAGTTTCCAGTCCTCAGCCACAGCCTGGCCTGTCGGCTGGGTGGGAGTGGGGCGGTGAGAGGAGGTTAGATTTTCAAACTCCCACGACTGTTATCGCTCCTTCTTTCCTTTATGGGTAGCCGGAGCTGCTGCTTAGAAGAGGAGCAGTCCCTGTTTATTCCAGCTGATGTGGGGACAAAATCACAGGGCTGACAAAAATGAGCAGTGGGCCTCCTCACGTTCAGGGTGAACAGCCTGCCGGGGGCTGGGGCAGCAATCTGGGGAGGAAAGGAAACAGCCAGCCAAGGAGCGTGGTGACCTGTCTGGTGCTGCAGTCAGCCAGCCCAGAGTTAGTCCTACACACCTTTGGTGTTGGAGTAATGGCCCTTTGCCCACCCGATACACAGGCGGACCGACGACCTGTCGGAGAAGTGGGCAGTCTCTCTAGCTGGTGTTGTCTGGGTGCGCCAGGGCCAGGCTCTCCTGCTCTCCTTCCCCTCCCCGGACTGGTGCG